GCCATGCTTGCTGTAAGGAGGAAGAAGAAAAATCCCATTTAAACCCAAACTTAATTTCTGAAGATCAAAACCAACAGAACTCAGGAACCTGCAGGTTTTGAAAACCCCAGCAGATAACACCCAGTCTTTTAGGAAGCAGAACACTCTTAGAAATCCTGCACTAAACGACTTGTCTAGATTACACAGACCTTCTGGTCTGGGCAGGGCACTGGGCTTTTGTCCCGAGAGTAACTTGCTGGCCACAGGGCCCTCCTGTCGCTCTGCAAAAGCCTTCAGTCCCTGTCCCTCCCAAAGGAGAGAAGCCATAGGCAGTCCTGCAGCTCAGGCACATGCCTGTCTTTATACACCCTCAACAACTTTTGTACTCACTGGGCAATGTTAGTTACAGCTGTCGAGTAGATGCCCCCAATGTATATATATATGTGAGGATAGCAGGTCAGGCAAGAGCCAACCCTTTCTGTGTCCCACCTGAGGAATAAAACACTTTATTACACACAGAGAACCAGAACCAGAGAAGGTTTAAAAGCAGGCTTTAGTGACTCGACTGATCATAGAACTATTTTTTTTTAATGATGTTGTTTACTTCTCTCCTTATCTCTGTCATGGAAAATAATTCAGATTTATAATATTATATTGCTCTTCAAAGCATGTTTTTGTTTGTCATATCCTGGTGTTTGAGTGGCCTTCTTCACAACACTGGACTGGGAAAGCAAAGATATTTCTTTTGCTGAATTCAAAGCCAATGGCAGTTTTGATTCTGCACTTAAAAATATGAGAGGTAACAACTCTTATTTTGCAAACACAGCTCTTAGTTATGCTCTGTCTGCCTCAGAGTGCATGGACTGCATTCAAAAAAACAGAACTAAGATTTCCCTGGTGCACTGCCATTAAAATGTCATTGAATTAATTTGTGCAAACACTTTAAAACATGGGGTAGCTTGACAGTAAAATAAATGCATCATTTTATAAAGCATAATGCTGGATGCAACAAAGCTTTTAGTAAAACTAAGTGTTATTTAAATGTGCCAGACCTTATCCTTAACCACATTGAGATGTTTCATGTCAGCCTGACAGCATAAATATACCTTTCAAGAGTGTAAACTGAAAATCCATCAAGTTTAACGTATCAAGATGGTGTGCAAAGGCAAAAGTTTAAATTAGAAACAATCTCATAATGACTCTAAATATCTACTTCTCCCATGATGTATGCTTTGTCGTATGGTGTGGGTACCCTCTGTCATCCTTTGTGTACTTACGTACACAATTAGCAGATCAGATCAATGCTTGAAATTTGAAAGTTTAATTAATAAACATTTCCTCAGGCTTTTCCTGAGTAATGCAGCCCGAGATTGCCATGTAGTGGGTATGCATGAGCTCCAGTTGTCTAAATAATAGGATTAAGTCTATCTTATTAGCTGTGGTACCTGAACTAATTCAGTGAACACTATTCCATCCTCCCTACATGTTTTCCATCTTTCATGTGGAAGTCACTATGATGAATTAGCTTGACCTAGCTCTTCCAGACAGACTTCTTCTTCTCTTGACTGGTAGGAGCAATCAAAATATTGCATATATTGGAAAATTTTACTCAGGATATTTGTTGCAGAAAAAGGCAAAACAGTTTGAAAACACAAAGATTCTCTCTTGGTATTGCAAAAACAGAGCTGAGTGAAGGAGGTCAGAGATGGGAGCTGGTTAGCTGTAAGTAATCAACCACTGAAAGTTTAATGTTAAGCTCAAAGATAGGGTGCAAACGAAGCAAATTGGCCGGGGATGTTACTTTTCGCTAAGCGTTCCACTAAGGAAAGTATTATCTCTGCAGTTAAATGTGTTTTAATGGGGTCTGTGCTACCGCTGGAATACTGTAAAGTGTTCAGAAATGGGTAGACTTGCAAACCACCAGCTCAGAAAATTGATAACCAAGCAGAAGGACTTTCACATCTAAACCACCATCTCTAATCTAGCCTGTTTCATTAAGGGGGCACAAAGCCGTTCAGCCTCCTGGCTAATTTGTGACTTCTGAAACTGAAAACATGCTGCACTCACAAAGTAGAGCAGACGCAGGGCAGGCAGGACACTCAAACTCCCAAGAAAACAACAGCTATGCTGTTTATTTTTTTATTCTATTTGGAAAAGGAGATGAGACTTGAGATGTTTCACTGAAAAAGAGACTCGTGGCTTGTCTCAGACAGGCCTAAGTGAAATGAAAAATGGGTCCTAAAGTCTGCCTCTTGGGTTGGGAACCACAAGGTCTGTCCTGGTCCCAGAGGCTGCCACCACAGTCAGCATTTAAAGATGTTTACCAGCGAGCCTGTACAGAGGTCAGGACCTTGTGGTCATGGAGCTGAACTTCTCCCAAAGGGTCTGTGTGTTTGCTTTCCTGAAGCATCGCAGAGGGAAAAAAGTATCTGAATCCGAAGTCTAGGCTGAAACACTGGCTTTTAGTCTCAAGCGAGTAATGCTGAGAAGCATAGAGAATGGGAGAAAATAAAAAACACTTTCAGGAACTCAGGAATGTGTAGGAGCATCTGAGTGAAGTTCAAAGCGTGCTAAAAACAGTAAGGTTTAGTGAGTTTTGGTAAGGATGTGGTATCTTTGCGTGAAAAAAAGACCAGTGCAGTGCCTTCAGCCAGAGCTGCCCTGCCCCTCCTTCATCCTGTGCTTCCCACCAAATCCTGTCCTCTCCCACCATGCCAGGTGTGCTGCTTCATGGTGACTTCTTACAGACAGTGTGGATCACTAATGCTCCTCGGTGGCCTCAACGGAGGGATTTAGAGTGCCATTTTCAAAAGCGCTTAAGTTACTGTAAAGCCTAGGGACTATGGTATTCCCACAACCCAAATATTGGTACTTTCCCTAGCTGGCTAAATAGGGGTTGTCTCTATAAGTTTCCTTTACAGGGTATTTTTCAGAGTAGTAGCATAAGCTGGATGTTGCAAAGCCACCTGTGATGGAGAGTCTGCAAAAGTGAGCCAGTAAGGGTATCTCTCTCTTTCCTCACACACCAAACAAAACCAGGTTAGGCACTGATGTTCCATTTGGAGAGGGGCTTTTAAAATCTTATCATCTGGGATGATTTATTTCTGGAAGGAACGTTGACCATTTTCTGTTGCCTGCAGAATAACTAACTCCTTTGTTAGCCAGGAACTGGAAGCTCGGGATTTTCTCTCTGATGGCAGTGCGAAGCTGTTGTTGCAAGGACATTTCTCTTCTGGGTGGCATCAAGGCAGGCAGCTCCCACTCCCACCCCTGCCTCCAGCCTGGCCCTCGCAGAAACTGGGGAACAGTCCCATATTGCAGTGGGATAACTGATGGGGCAGGAGGCAGGATGGAAGAAGTTAGATAAGCTGGAGAGGCACAACCTGGACTGACACAGTACGAGAAGAGCTCTCAGGATGGCTCGGCAGCTTTATTCATCTCTCCAGCTGTAGGACAAAGGAAGATTCAGAGGTCTGTCTTCTGTCATTTAGCAGCTCTGCACAGAGCGCAGGCTTGCAAGAGGCCAGTGAAAGAGGAAAGCAACTTTACTTGTGCCACTGAACACCCATATGGCTCTCAGGATGTGGTTTTTCTGAAGATCTCAGTATCGGTCTTCAATTGTTCATAGGGGCTTTAATACTGTCTTTCAGTGGGAGGAAAATTGAGCCCATATTGAGTGCTCTTCAAAAACCCTGTCCAAACCTCAGTGGTGTAAATCATGCAGAATAATTAACGGAATAAAATATGGTGTTTACCAAAACCCAGTGCGATAAAGGGTTACCATAGGCTCACCGTGCTTAGTGTAGATGCCTGCCCTCGAGCAAGGGGCAGGGCGGAGGCAGTGCTGACAGAACAGGCATCGTACTTATGCCAGGGCTCCCTGAGAAAGGCAGCTCTCCAGACGACACCTGTTCTCATGCACGTGTCAGGCTCTGCCCCGGTTTCAGTGCTGGGAAGTGCTCAGTTCCTGCCGCTGGCTCTCCTCAGAGCTCCTGCAGGGTCAAGCTGTGTCACAGAGGATGGTCGTCTCCCTCTAAGCCTCCTGAGATGGGGACTGGTATGGGTCTTCTCCAGCAGGTGTGCAATTAATTACACCAAAGGTTTGTAGTGACCTGGTTACTCATAACCATTAAATAAGCAAATGAGATTCATGAATGTAAGATTAAAGCATATTCTACTACTGAGTATCTGACAAAGAATGGCAACCCATCTTAGTAAAACATTAATCTTCCCCCACACACAATGGGGAATACATTTTTTCTAGCACTTTGAGCCATGAGTTATTCAGGTTTGCAACCGATTAAACATCTTCCTCTCTTTCCCTGTTACAGACCTTTATTTGTGCCTTGCAGAGAAACACAGTACCAAATACAATAAATAAATAACCTCTGGTGGTGACTCATCGAAAAGCTCATATTAAGGAAAAGATAATATTAAGGAAAGCATAAGTTTTGTATTCACACAGATTAACCTCTTGATGTTGGCAGCCTGAATCTTTTTCCCAGATTTAACACTTTCTGATGGCGGCTTTGAGCCAAGCAAAACCTACTGGCTTTAGCAGTGTAAAAACCTGACCTGAGCGTCTATCACAAGGTGACATTTGCACCTCAGTTGCTCCGTAGCCACAGCAACAGACAAAGATAAGGATGGAGTCTGGCTGGAAGGGTTTAGAAGTTCCCCCTTTTTTGGCATTTTTTTGAGGGGCCACCACAAGGCCGGTATTTAGTTTTTTAAGGTGTTTGCTGGATTCCTGTCTTCATCCCTGCGTAAGGCGGGAAGGGAGCGGTGCTGGTATTTGATCACTTGGGTTGTCGCTGTCAGAAAGCAGGAAGGTTTTGTTATACTTTTGTGCCACGCTTGCTCTGGGTGCTAGCAGAGGACGCCGTGCTGCCCGGGGCTTGGGCAAGTACCCCAGCAGGCAGAGGTGAGGGCATGCGGCAGAGCAAAATGTATATTGTCTTTTTTGTATGTGTGTGCTCCTCACGGCCTATCTATTTTATCTGTCTCTTCCTGATCTTTAGATGAAAATCTTTGACAAAAACAAAGATGGACGGCTGGACTTGAATGACCTGGCAAGGTAGGTTTTAATAATATTGATGGGGCTTTTCAGTGTGCAGTGGCAGATCCAGGCAAGGTGATGATCTCCCTCTGGGGACATGCATTTGAATCCTACCTCCTTTCAAATTATATCAGGTTGTCTGATGTAGGTATCCCAGGTCTCTAATGCATGATCCCCATCTCAATGGTGCAAGAACCTAGAGCTGGTGGCACTGAGCAATGCCAGGACCCCTATGTGCATCACCAACACACTCTGGCATGATCCATGCTACCTCTGTGAAGCTCCTCAGGAGGTGATGAAGCAACCAGTGGCACCATTTCTTCAAAAGAAGAATGGCAATCCCCTTCAGCAGGGTCACAGATGTGCATTTATTTCACATCGTCATGTGCATCAGGGATTGCAAATGTGTTTTGCTGCTTGTTTGAGTAGTAAAGGTGCTACTGCAAAGGAACTTGCCAATGGCAGTAAGAAAGGATTTGGAGGGACAAGGTGAAGATGCTTATGAATGAAGCTGGGGATGCAGTCACTGGCCTCTGTCTCTTTTGTATCCTTGGTACCTCAGAGACTTTTATATGATTTTCACTGCTATTCACTAATATTTCACAGATAGAGAGTATGCCTCTGTCTGTAAATGTATGTGCAATGACTGGATGGGACTTTAAACATGCAGGTACAGTCTTAAAACACTGGTTTGGGGGATGAGAGGAGAGAGGTGCTGGTTTGCCACTGTTACTTTCTGCTTGGGATCATGACGAACGCCAGCACAAATAACTGCAGTGCATGTGGCAGTTCATTTTGATCACTCAATATACAAAGAGAAACAGAGGCAGAATGGAGAATATCTAAAGGGGGTTGCTGTTGCATTCTCCTCTTAAATGCAGTTGCCCTACTGTGCCATGCCAGCTGAGGCTCCCCGCTGCTCTGAGCATATTTCTCACACCCCAAACCCTTCAGTGCGCAGACATAGCTCAGCACACCTGGCGTCACGGGCTCTAAAAACCCTCAAGTTAACAGAACAGCTGGAGACACCAAAGTTCTTATCAGTGCTGTGAGGGGCTTTGGGAGGGAGGAGGGGAAAGGAGAGGAATTTGGCCAGTTTCGGTGCTGAGGCCAGTATTTGTTCTTTACTTTTACAACCACCAATTCTCCCTCCAACAGAGAGCGATAAATTACTCTTTCCTTAAATGCGGCGCAGCAATCCAGTTACAAGGAATGATTGTCTGGTAGCTCTCGCTTCAGAAGCTAACCACCTCCGTCGCACTGGACCACCAGAAATGCTCTGGGAGAAGCAGTGGTGCAAAGAAACATGTCCGCAGCGAGCCAAAGGGCACCTACCATTCCCCATCAGACAGGGAGGGAGGCATGTGTTCATCTAACAGCCCTCCGCAAATAACCCCGCAGGCGATTTTGGTTTTTAAAGGCCTATAATCTAAAATCTCTCTGCTTTATGAACCAGAAGAGTTTGGAATAGTTTGTGTGTAGATGATAAAGTGGAAAGATCATAATTTAAATCTCTCTATTCAGGATTCTGGCACTCCAGGAAAACTTCCTTCTTCAATTTAAAATGGATGTAAGTAGCTCTATTTTTTGATGCATTGATCCCATCTCTATCAGCTAAAATAACCTAGGCACAAACTTGAATCTTTTTATTTTTTCTTTTTTATTTGCGTATCTTCTCCACATATAGGCTTGCAGCACAGAAGAAAGGAGGAGAGATTTTGAAAAGATCTTTGCACACTATGATGTTGTGAGTCCCAGAGGCTGCTCCCTTGTGGTCTTTAAACGACACAGATTTAACATACGTTGCTCAGAATTCTTCCTCCCAGTGGGTGCTGTGGGGGTCACCCATGAGCTGCAGCTGTGCTTGAACCCATGGGCCAGAGGGGCCCAGGTGCCAGGCTGGGGGGTAAGGTGGGGATAGGGGGGGAGTGATGCTCAGAGACCTCATGGCAAAGGACCCATTTTGACTTTCTCCATCGCAATGGCCAGCGCTGCTGCATTAGCAGTATCTCCCTGCAGGAGTCGCAAGGGATGTAGAGGAGGTGGTGGCTTTAGCTCTCGCAGTCTCTGGCAGTTTGCGACCTGCATCACCACCCCTTGAAAAATAAAACCCCATCCAGTACTGAACCAAGGGTTATTTAGGGAGTCTGGCCCAGGGCAGACATGACCACCTAACTGCCTGTTAGAAATCAGCAATTCAGTGCCACTTCTAACAATCACACAACTCCCTCAGGGTGGTGGCCAGCAAGCCTCACAAAATGGTGGGAGATGTTGTTCCTGTTTTAGGGGAAGAGATGGTTTGAGAAAAAGGAAGGGATCTTAGATATTAGATATAAGGAAGAAATTCTTCACTGTGAGGGTGGGGAGGCACTGGAACAGGTTGCCCAGAGAAGTTGTGTATGCCCCCTTCCTGGGAGTTTTCAAGGCCAGCTTGGATGGGGCTTTGAACAACCTGGTCTAGTGGAAGGTCTTGTGTCCCTGCCCATGGCAGGGAGGGAGGAACTAGATGATCTTTAAGATTCCTTCCAACCCAAACCACTCTAGATTCTATGATCTATATGCTATAAAGCTCAGTGATAGGGTGGACCTACTGACCCGTAAATATTATTTTGGTTTTGACTTACTGGAGCATTTTGATGTTTCTTCCATCTTTCAGAGTAAAACGGGAGCGCTTGAAGGCCCAGAAGTGGATGGGTTTGTCAAAGACATGATGGAACTGGTCAAGGTAGCTTCATGGCTCTTTCTATTTATTAATATCTTATGTTTCCAAGAGGAAGCTGATTGTTTTGGTAAAGTCCTGTAAATAGAAAGGCTACTGAGAAGGTAGAGTCAAACTTCACTTTCATGAGCAGCAGAAAAGAATGTCATGGTCTTAGCATAAACACTGTAGAGCATTTCATCATATCACAGAAATTCTTCCTGACAAATTAATACACCTTCACTCAGCAACTGTATTTAAGAAAAGTCCATTCTAACTCATACTCTGAGTTAGGCAGATGTTACAGTATCACAAACTGGTCTACATGGATCAGTCATCAGAAGTTCTTTCTTCTGTTTTCACTGTGAATATGGTCCTCACTAGCATGACCTCATGGTTCATTAGCTCATCAGAGGACTACACTTGAAAATTACTTACACTCTACCTCTAATCAAGAATACCATGCCCAGCATGTCACCAGATTCTTCTGCAGTCCATCTGTATTGGATTACCTTGAGTTTCCAGATGCAGTCCAAGATACAGTTTTTGATCCAAATATAGTCGTTTCTTTGGCTCCATCCGAGCCTGAACTGTAGCATTTCCACACAATGTGACCCGATGCGGGGGATGCCTGCATTCCCATGGCCATTTAGAGTGGAGCAGAGGCTGCGGCTGTGCACTGATGGCTGCGTGTGTATGTATGTGACAGCCACGTGGTGTATAGGGAAGAGTGTGAGGACAGGCAGGAGGCTGGATTTGCACTCTGTGCATGTGTGTCCAATGGAGCAAAGGTTGTACCCTCACTAAGGGCCTTCATCAGCATCGTCCTTGGGCACTGCAAGCTGTTCGTGTGAACCTGATTGCCTCCTGAGGAAGTGGGAAGCAGAAGCAGTACAGCATTAGAAGCATACAGAGACAGCATCACCTGTAAAGTACACCTTTAGCACTCATTTGATCCACTAAAGGTATTTTTGTGTTGCTGGCTAACCTGTAAAATAGCAGCCTGCTGACAGAGATGCCACATCGCTCCTCGTGTAGTAGGTTTGAGAGAGGGAACCAGATGAAAGCACAGGTCCAGTAGTGCCACGATCTGCACGGCACAACCTTCTGCAGACTTTTGTTTGATACAGATCAGACATTGGTGGCCTTGACTAGGCACAAAAATCGTTACATTTCCTCACATTTACTCGCAGTCCCATACATCTAACCATACCCCTTCTGTTTTTGCAGGGTGCCCCTTCCCCTTCCTCTGTTTGCTTCCCCACCTTATACGGGCTGACGGGGGGCCAGGCCTTTTGGTCGCTCCTCCTTGGGTGGATTTCCCTGCCGCTGCACGGCCTGCTGCTTTGCAGGGCTAGGGAAATCCAGAGCTGTTTTCTCTCTCAGCACTCTTTTCCTCTTCTGCCTGCAGCCCAGCATTAGCGGGGTGGACCTGGACAAGTTCCGCCAGATCCTGCTCAACCACTGCGACGTGAACAAGGATGGGAAAATTCAGAAGTCTGAACTGGCCTTGTGTCTCGGGCTTAAAATGAACCCGTAGCTGGGAGAGTGCTCGTGGTTGTGTTTCCCTCGTGAGATTTGCCTGCTGCTCCTCGTAGAAGCGTGTGCGTGCTGCCGGGCGAGTGGTGGGGAGCAGGGGCACCATGCTGCCAGGCTGGAGAGCCGCTGCATGAAGAGGTGGGACCGTAGGATTCGCATGGAGGGACTCCCCGCTCCTCCACCCCCTTTGTGGTGTTCGCTCGCTGCTGCCGCATGCGGGTCCCCTCAGCAATGTCTCTGCCCACCAGCACACCAGCAACTCAGAAAAAGGGTTGCTGTTCTTCTGCTCCTGCGAAATGCTGCCCTCCCCGTCCCCTAGGACAGGGACAAGCACCTCCTTAAAAACAGTCCCGTCAGTGCTCTCAGAGTGCAGCTACTAGGTGTTTCTGATGGTCGCCTTATGTGTGAACTCATTACCTTGGTGAGCGTCGCGCTTTGTTTGTGCTTTTAAAGTATTGGATGGATGACGGTGTATTTGTGCAGAAATAAAAAATAGCAGTTACAGAAATTCAGTAAGATCGGAGTTTATGTGTTATGTACGGAAAGCTGTCTGCCGCAGACTGGCAGACCATACATTTGTATCCATCTTACATAAAACACATCAAATGACAAGAAGTTTTGCGATGCCTATCAGCTTTTCTTCTAACTCAAACTCAAATAATATACAAGGTTTCCATAAATGTTAAAACTGGAAGAACAGAAGCCTAATTAGAGCAAAGCTCTTTCTTAAGCACATGTTTAATTTTTTATATCTGTAAGACTTAATAAATACTTGTAAACTTCATTGAACTTAAAGCTTCCCATCACTGTATCCTGGGCTGCATCCAAAGCAGCATGGCCCACAGGTTGAGGGAGGTGATTCTGCCCCTCTACTCCACTCTGGTGAGACCCCACCTGGAGTGCTGCATCCAGCTCTGGAGCCCTCAGCACAGGAAAGACATGGCCCTGTTGGAGATGGTCCAGAAGAGGGCCACCAAAATGATCAGCGGGATGGAGCACCTCTCCTGTGAGGTCAGGCTGAGAGAGTTGGTGTTGTTCAGCCTGGAGAAGAGAAGGCTCTGGGGAGACCTGATTGCAGTCTTCCAGTACTTAAAGGGTGCTTCTGAGAAAGATGGGGACAGACTTTTTAGCAGGGCCGGCCTGTTGCGATAGGACAAGGGGTAACAGTTTTAAACTAAAAGACCGTAGATTTAGACTAGACATAAAGAAGAAATTTTCACATTGAGGGTGGTGAAGCACTGGCGCAGGTTGCCCAGAGAGGTGGTAGATGCCCCATCCCTGGCAACATTCAAGGTCAGGTTGGATGGAGCTTTGAGCAACCTGCTCTAGTTGAAGATGTCCCTGCTCATTGCAGGGGGGTTGGCTTAGATGACCTTTAACAGTCCCCTCAACCCAAAGATTCTATGATTCTATGACTGCTCCTGGGCCATGAGTGTATTCCTGGAGCCTAATGGCAGCAGCATCATTGGTGCCACATATTTCCCTATTCCAAAGGCCTTGACTGTATCCTCAGAAAGACCCACACCTACACTATCATGCCCAAATAATCCTTTCTTCATTTCCAAAAAGAAAACTGCAGAGGAAGGGTTGTTAGCAAAATTCCCGGACATTTCAGCATGTGTCTCCTACAGATGAGAGACCCAGATTTGACACTCCAGGTGTCGTTCTGGTTATGGTCTTTGCACAAGGCAGTACAATGAAACACTCCTTCATACTCAGTTTTGTAAAAATCTGAAATTGCCTTCAGTCAACACGGATAGAGATGGAGATGCTGAGTCAATAAAGCACTTCTTAAGTACATAAACAACATTACAGATGTGCTCATTTCCTATTTACATTGATGCTAAGATCACAGACAGAACAAGTGCTAAGTGCACCACCAACCATCTGTTCATTGTACCTCCAATAGGACATGACTTATCAGCCAAAATAATTATGCTTCTAAGTATATTCTTATGCTTCTCTCTCTTCTTTCAGTCTTTATATCATTCTCATTGTTGTTATTATTTTCTTAAACTATGGTTTCTATTACTTTGGACATGGGAGCAATTTCTGTACCATCCCCTACAATGTATTTCCACTCATAGATGTATGATCTTTATGTTATTTGTATTTTTCAGTTATAACAGATCCATTCCGTTTTACACCTGTTTAATTCTATTGATATCAGCAGAACTTTTCTGCATTTATTAAAGTATAAATTCAAGAATAATCTGCCTTGCCTCACCAGAAATACAGCAACTTTTAACCTAAAATGAAAATAATATTTTAAAGACTGTATACAACCACAGCTTTCATTTCAAGAATTATACAACAGTTCATCTTTATTGAAACCTTATGCTTTTTATATCCTCTACAGCCAATAGTTTTTAGTCAACAGACACTGAGCAGTAATGAATTTTGTATGCTGGTGTCACAATGTATTTTGCTTCTTTTGTACCCATCTGGCGTTTTTTCAATACTGAATTTGCTGAAGCCTTCCTCTCTGCAAGTTCACAAAAATAGTTTTATTTGCTTTAAAAAAGTGAATGCGTAGCCTTCGGTAAGGGAGTTTAAAAGAGCACTTTATAAAACATTAGCAAAAAGTAATCTGGGATCATAGATTAGAAGTTTATATACAGAACTCAAAAGAGGGTTTTTTTAATGATTTTTAAAACTGTATTTAGTTGTGCATTCCCAGAGCAGAGACTAGAGAGCAGGAAAACAGGCATGCGCACTGCCTCGTTTGCAGAGATCATAGGGGAGAGCCATATCCCAGTGGGACTCCAGCCCAAGTGAGCTTCAGGTCCCCTATAAGCAAAACAAAATGTCAGGAGATGCAGTGGGATTCGAGCCCCCGTTACAAAGGTCAGCAAGGCAATTATTAATGAGCCATGGTCTTGTAACCCTCTAGCCTCTAAAAGTCAATGTTATTGCAGGAGGCAGGCATTTTGAGACTTCCTGTGGAGAAGATGTGTTCCTTGCTTGCAGAGATATTTTTTTTTTAATTATTATTTTAACTTCAATAATGAATGTTCCATAAGGCACTTTGGTCTCAGGCTCTGGTGATTTCATCCCTTTAAGCTGCTATAGATATATAGATAGGCAATATATTTTGATGAAACATAGCTATTGGCCATTTTGCAAATTTGAAGCGTACTTTACTGTGCAGTGTGGAGTCTTTTATGTACCAAAACATGAGATGCTATTTCACATTTGAATGGTTACATGAAAATACCTGGTTTGCATTAACTATATGAAAATATCTTGTCTATGAAACCAAAAACATTTATACACCATGATGCCTTCTGTGCTGTAAATATATAGAAGATATGCAAGGAAGGTTTGGATCTGTTCGATCAATGCATCTTCTGCCAACAAAATTCTGTGGATATCACATTATTTAGGAGCCTGCATCTTGGTAACTAGAATTTGAACGCAGAAAGTGAATTAATATGTTTGCTGAGATATTGTTCATGTTTTTCTCTAGAAAACTGGGAATAAGGGATTCACAGTTTTCTATTTCTTCATAGTACGCAAATTTACTGAAATCAATTGTAGCTGACTTTATCATCATATTTAACAGGTGTTTTTTCCAGAAGCTACCCCAAGTGTAGAGGTCAATACGCACAGTGCTCCCAAATGTGTCATTTTATGGTTGGTTTTCTTCCTTGGCTTGTTTAATTAGCAAACTGCTGGATCTGGCAATCAATGTGTGAATTTCCTCAAAGCAGTTTTTCCTTTGCCTCCCTTTTTGCTGTGAGTTATATGAGATCACGCCCTGCACCCCTGTCATGCTCCCTGCTCGTCTCATTTTTAGCACTTGACATAGTTTTTTTTCTGGTGGCTTGCCATGACAACTTTGTTCAGGAGAAACTGCCTCTGACAGCTCCAGTTGGCTGTGTAGAATGGGTTACCATGAAAAATGAACATTTATAGGGCTTTTTAACTCAAATCCATCCCTCATTTAACTTGGCTTCATTGGAAATGATGGTACAGAGACACAATCTTTCCTACCATCATTTTGAACCCCAACAAGCTGCTTTCTCATCCTGAGCCATCACTATGAAGATCTGCCACTGGAGACCCCCAATTTCCTGAGCCAGCATCACAATCCCAAATTGCTCATGGGGCAGCTTGTGCCTTGGTCTGTGCAGCTTTTTCCCCAGAATAATGAACCCAAATACACATGCCCACCTCATTCCCCAGTCTGAATACACTCCAGCAGTCTCATGCCACTGACACTCAAACTGGAACCGGATGAGATGTTCACAAAGAGTAACATTTAATTTTCGCTGGTGCTGTATTTTCAGTAAAAGACTTCTCTCCATTCATCCTCCCAAAACTGCTTTAAACCACACGGGTGAATCGGCCTGCACATCTTATGAAAACTGCTTTTTATTCCTACTAAAAGCTGAGAATTGAGCATCAGCCCCAAAGAAGGGCTCAGAGCATAGGAAACCAGCACAATATTTTGATTAATCTGCTTTTCTGTTTGTGTGGCAAAAGAATAGTGACAATATTAATGAAAACAGTTGTGACTAATGCAGCTAATAAGACTATCAGAGAATCATCTGCCACATTATAATAGGAACCCATCATGAGAAACACCTTAATTACAGCTATTATCTCTTAAAAAGGCTGGGTAACTCTTACATTAATCTGATGTGAAATAGAAAGTTGCCGTTATGTAGTGAGATGTTAAATGGGGCTTTGCTGTGTAATTACATGGGGTAAAGTAACTATGAAAGTAACTTTTGTATGAGGGCTACACTGACTTCTAATGAAAAGCTCTCATTTTCTGGCACCTGTATTTTCAGTAATTACACGAAGAACTGTGTCTCATTTTAAGGAACATTTGTGCATGGGAAAAGGGTGAGAAAAGAGCGCCAGTTACGACCATCATGAGAGAAAATAAGGGAACAATTTGCCTAATGGCAAGACACATCTACAGGGAGCTCCCACTGGGTCCCAGAGGTAAAACCATTTCCCTGCCCTCTCTCGCTTAGGTGGGAACGACCAATTTTCACAAGCTCGTCCCACACTGACACGTCCTGCTGTCCACCTGCTGTATGCTCAGCCTTTATTCTGGCTTCAGGCATTGCCCTTCCTCTT